TGTTCAACAAAACTTTGAACCAACCACAAAAAATGAACTATCTTGGAATGGCCAATAGAGGGCGCGTGACATTTTTCTGATTAGGATCTTGTTGGCACTGGGAGTGTTATCTTTGGAAGTCAATAACTTTTTAGTAAGAGAAGTAATAAATATAAAATTTTCACAGTGTAATAAATGAATATAAATGCATTTTTTACAGTAATTCTTTAGGATTTTCATTGTTTCCTCTTTTTTTACAGATACGAACAAAAAGTGATAAATTATGATTTTAGTGAAAAAAGTCAAAAAATTACATTTTAAACCCTAAAAAAGGTTCAAAATATCATCAAATATTATAAATATTCATATCATGTGATAGATAATTTCATTATCTTTCATTAGACACAATATTCATTAAAATTGAGGCTCTTTTTAACAAATGACATGTAAAAAACAACTGTTAGGCGAAATCAGGGTCAAATAAAGGTCATTGACCTCTGAAATCAGGCTCCACCACCCACAACACACAAGACATCACTTTTCAGACATGTCTTAGGATGTTTTATCCAAAAATTAAAACAAAACACTTGGTCTTTTTTGTCAATTAAAGAAATACATCAGGCAATTGGACTATTAGTTTTGCTTTTGTTTAAGAATATAGTTTTTGAATCAAATCGTTTTCCGGCTAGATTTTAGCAAGGTTTGATTAAACGCTCATTTAAATTATATATTTCGTTTCAACCAATTTTGTTGACTCTTGCCTGGTCTCTCGTAAATCACAGTGAAAAAGGAAATCATTTTTAGAGTGTTGGATGGTGTACCTTTTTGTACAGTGAAAAGTGAGTCATGATGCGATATTTAATGTTTGTTTTATGATCATCCATCTTTAATCCTTTTTCAAAGGTATAATGCGCTATAAGAACTGTACTATTATTATTATATGTGTATAAAGATCCCCTATTTTATACCTCATTAGCAAAGAATCAAAGGTTTTGAGATAATTATTGAACAATTTAATTGTGCATATAAACTTTTGTGCTGTATGTTTACAGTGACAATAATTTGGTCATAGATGGGGTTTGTCCAAAGCAGTCTGACATAAGTTTGCGGCAAGCTTGGCAGGGCTTTAGATTGCACCCAGCAAGCTCCGCAAGCTTGCTGCAAGCTTGCAGGGCATACACTGTCGGCCTGCAAGATTGCCAGGGCTTTAGATTGCGCTCCTGCAAGCTTGCAGGGATATCCTCTTTGTCTGCAAGCTTGCAAGAGCTTTAGTTTGCGCCCCTGCAATGTCCGCAAGCTTGCTGCAAGCTTGCAGGGCATACACTGTCGGCCTGTAAGATTGCCAGGGCTTTAGATTGCGCCCCTGCAAGCTTGCAGGGATATCCTCTTTGTCTGCAAGCTTGCAAGAGCTTTAGTTTGCGCCCCTGCAATGTCCGCAAGCTTGCTGCAAGCTTGCAGGGCATACACTGTCGGCCTGTAAGATTGCAAGGGCTTTAGATTGCACCCCTGCAAGCTTGCAGGGATATCTTCTTGGCCTGCAAGCTTGCAGCAAGCTTGCATGAATATCTCTCTTTGCCTGCAAGCTTGCAGCAAGATTGCTGTAAGATTGCGCGCAAGTTTTGCAAGCTTAAATTTGTAATGCAATCTTATTAAGCTTGCCGCAAGCTTCTAACAAGCTTGTAACAAGCTTGCCGCAAGCTTAAGTTTCTGTAAGGGTGGGTAGCATCCAACATAGAATGCAATGCCAATGTACTTTTTGGGAGTCTTATCTTAACTCTGAGTCCGCGATTCTATGTTTAAATGATACTTGTAGGCTGCATAAAATGTTGTTTAACTAAAATGACAATTCCCCTCAATAATGTTCGCTTTTGAATGATGATAACTGAATTCTAGATGATCATTCCATGCAAAGCAAACCCAATCCTAGCTTTATTACAAAGAGTACATTAAAGACAGAATGTGCACAGAGAGAGAGAGAGAGAGAGAGATTGTCCTGTTTATTATAGAGATATAAAACAGTGGTGAGAATGGATTTATTCATTACAAAATTATTAGACAATGCAAAGAAAACTGATAGTACTACATTGACAAGAATGTAGATTAAATATTTATTTACAAAATATTACAAAATGCAAAGAACATTTCTATTCAAACAAAAACAACATTGATTTAGAGAATATAATAGAAAACCAGAGGAGAAAACATTCGTCACGATGCTATGTTTTTGCTTTTCTTCGGTGTAAAAATACTCTGCTGTAATTAAAATTTCATAAAAATTGGCCTCTACTATTGTCCCCATCCTTGTGCGTGGAGCCCGTGAAAAGGCAGGCAACCAGCTGCATTTATTAGCGCAGACCAATCACACATTAGAAGGCGCCTCACACAATCGCATGCACACTCCCACACACATGCCCCCCTATAAGAGGGAGATTGGTCAATACTGCATTAGGGGGAATTCACACTGACACTGCACGTCAAACGTGTAGTGTAGGGTGCGTGGGGTGGGTTTACACACTCGACCACATGTAGTCTTTATCTTCCAGGCCATCCCTATCTACAAATACATGCTTCTTTTCTTCTTTTCTTTCATTAAGAAAAAAATGATAGTAATAGTAATCTATTTATTTATTGAGAAATATTTGATGATTTGAAGGTGTCCTCATCACTGTTTAATTGACGATTTCATCCAAAAAAATATGACAGAGGAGAATGTTAAATCAATATACACTCATACCGGTATATTGCAGGCTTTATATTTAATCAAGAGGTAGGAGGAGCAAGTTTGATTTTTATAGTCATTAAGTTTAAGATCAATGGCTTGATCATGTATTGAATAAAACACACTGCAATAAACACTGTAGGAAGCCAACTACATGTACATGTATGGAACATACAAGTAAATGATTTAAAAAGTTGTTGATATTATTCTAAGAAAACAATTTATAGAAAAGCATACTTATCTTTTCATTCTCGTGAAGTATTCTGTATTCATATTCTTCACAAATGACCAGTTTACACATTATTTTAGAAAGAAAATTGTTTTATGATGCCCAGAAACTTGGTCAAGGTTTCCCTAACACATTATAGTGATCAAAATATTTATTTACATGTACACTATTGAGAAAGGGTCTATAATGCTAGACCATGTCCCTGGCGCCGTGCGTATATGCATTCATTCAGTATTCATCATTTAAAAGCAAAATGCATTTGAGCTGGGGAGCATCAAGTGTCATCTCACCCATACATCTGGAGATATATATAAATCTTCTACCATAATGTGAAAGCGGGACTGATTTGTGCTGTGGTGATACTGTACAATACAACCAAATCTCAAAAATGCATTTTTAGACTTTTGTCTCCATTTTGGGATTGCATCTCTCGGAGATGCTTTAACATCTGTTAAACTGAAGCCAGCCTAATAGCATCTGGTTTGTCATCGTACAGAATTGTGTGATTTACCTTGGTACTGGAAGAGAGAAGTGGCGGTTTCTATGTACCATAGCCCTGGTAATTGGATCTGTTTATTAGTCATATTGTATGCACAAGGATTTTTGTGAATAGATAGTGTGGGTCATTGGTGGTAATTACAGTGCTATTGACATCTATTTTCCTGGAAAGAACAAAGGATGTTTTAAAGGGGTTTTTCACAACAACATTCAGATTAATTTGATTTCCATTTATTTACTTACACTGTACATTTTATCAGCATTTAAGAGGTAAGTGAAGTGCAGTATCTAGATGATTCATGACCTTATTTTGTTGAATGTGCTTTTATCTTATAGTATTTATTTAGCACCTGATATTATCTATTGAAAACAGGAAATAACACTGAGGACAAGGGAAAAGAAAGAGAGAAATAACATGGATGAAATATATGTACTAACCTGACTACTGATAATTAGTAGGCCTATATTGCAGTGGAGACATAGATTGTTTACTTTGAAGATAATTTACAGTGTACAATGTACAGGTATACAGTATGTTCATATTTTGAGGGATAAACACAAAAGGGAAGAATACATACTTAATTATGTTTCACTTAAAAATATAAATGTAGTTAATTTTGATGTGTCTCTGCATGTTGTGTTTGTCATGTTTATGTGGTTTGCATCGATCATTCTATAGACCTATCATTCTGCTGTTACATGTAGGCCTATGATATACTTATTGTAACTGAGACTAATCAAGAAGAAAAATTCCCAATCTGAAGTCTGAAATCAGTGAAATGCCTTTATTTTGAAATAACACCTTGTTAATTGGTAAATGTAGTTCAGCAACAGCCTGAAATAATCCAAACAAAATTGTTTATGTACCTGTACAATGTGTATGTAACTGTACATGTATGCCTTGTACATGATGGATTGTCATTGTTTTAAATTAGACTCTTAAACATGAATTACCCTATTTAGCCTGCTACCGGTACTCATGCAGCTTTGTGTAAAATTAATGACAGTCATTTAAGAAAAAAATAGATATCACCTGACTAATATGATGACACTGAAATATACATTGTTAAAATGCACATTTCAGTGACCTACATATACAGTGTACATGTAATTCATTTTGTGGAACTTGAGAATTCAAGTTTGTTTATTTCTATATCCTGGAAACTTGATCTGAACTGGTTTAAATATTCTAAAAAGTTTAGAGGGATGTGGTTACAACAGTAACTCTATAAATTTCGCCATACCAGCACATGTACAGTATGTATCATGTACACGTACATGTATTTCTAGTTTAATATTTAATGGTAAGTTCTTTCTTTTCCAAGTTAGTGTCTTCAACTGCTGAAAATGTATACATTTTATTGCTTTACAAAATGATTCGTGAAAATTTTGCCTTATTAAGAATTGAAACATTAAATTTCATAAAATATAACATGACAAGGTGACGTGTGGGATTATTAAACCAAATGACTGTTTAATTTCCCTTCAAAAAATTACCTGTGACATCCTCTACCAAGCACTCTTGATGTGTTCAATTGTTTAATTTCTGCGTTTTGTGATTTTCTCTCTCTACAGGTTGTGAAGTTTGGAAGTCATCCCTGTACCATTTGAGTATTTCATGCATACACCTTGATGAGTTGTTGAGTTTGGGAGACTGACTGCCTGCCGCCATGGCCTACCTCGTGAAGAGGTTCAGTGACTTCCTGGGTATATCTGACCCTGAATATGTCAGAGCGCCGCCCCTCGATGGAGAGATCATCTTCTGCAAGAACAATGTGTGCGTGCATCCGCCCTCCATGCTCTCAACCACCGTGGAGCACCATCCGGGATACTTGACGATCCGCGCCCAGAGGGTTTCCGAGCGGCAGACGTCCCTCGTGCTCACATGGATCCCAAACAAATCCTTGAATCAGAGAAAACGCTCCAGCTGCAGCACCAGCAGTCCCGTCAGAGTGACCTATGTGGACATCCGCAAGCAGATTGCGATGATTAATGAAGCACACCTGGACAATGTCAGTGGTGATAGTCTGAGTATTTTGTCCAAGGAGGAAGAGGCAGGGATGGAGAATACCGGTTCAGAGAAGTTAAAGGAGTCTGGCCGTAACGGAAGTCCTCAAGGGTCGATTCAGAGCTTTCAGGACTCTGGTATTGGGGAAGGGGAACGCCCGAAAGTGGGCAGAGACGGTGGTGTTAATGGTGCAACAGGGAGTGACTCGTGCAGTAGAAATGAGATAGATAATAAGACAGTTGAAGGAGACCACAAGGTGGAAGAGTCTTCTGAAAGTGATGAGATTTCATCAGATCAGAGGCTCGCTGCTATGCTAAACAGTCCAGGGGGTAACCACAGCCCTGTGGGACGGCCCGTTAACTTGGAGCTACAGACAAAGATGAAGGTTTACCCACCTAAGGATGATGAAGACAAGGACAGTGTCAGCAGTTCTGATTCAGATGACTCTGAGACCTTTAACAACATCCTGGAACGCCTCTCAAACGATGTCCTTCCGAGGCAGATGTCCCGCCGGTCTAGCTCTACAACTCCCACCACCTCCAACCAGGACCCGTTCTCCTTGCCTTCCACCCCTAGCCCTGAAGAGAGCTTTGATCCCTTCGTCCCTCTCTACAGCCTCCACAGCAGTTCCACCTGCAGCCCTGAGTTCCACCCGTCTCCCATCGCCACCCACAACATGACCTTCCCTGAGAACTCTGTATGCTACCGAGGCAAGGTCATCTGTCCTGGTTCCCCTGCCAGCGCTCCAGCCAGGGACCAAGTCTGTGGGGTCTTCTCGGTGGACCTGTGCCAGATGAGGTCCTTGAGGATCTTCTTTGCGGATGAAGAATGCACGAGCGGTCAGATGGTCATCGCTAGTCGGGAGAGTCAGTACAAGATACTGCACTTCCACCATGGTGGTCTGGATAAGATGACAGAAGTCTTTGATCATTGGAAGAACTGCATCAAACTTCACAATCAGGTGAGTGAGAAAATTGAAATTCTTTTTTATAAGGCATTCAAATGTTTTAGTCATGGTGAAGAACACTTACTTAATAACCCTAATAGCTTTGCTCTAGAATATTTTTCATAACTAATATTCATGCAGGCTGGTTTAATATTTAGTACCACATCTTTGCATTTCCTTCAAGTAATTTACATATTTTGTACTTAGATTGATTGGTGTTATTTGTGTAGGAAAATATGTACTTGTAAATTGCCCATCAAATGTCAAGGACATGTACTGTACATGTAAATATTAAGTAATTGTTTTTTTAAATTTGCAAATTTTGTTTACCTGTACATGTAGGTCAACGAAATGCATATGATCAGGATGTTCTTGCACTAAATGCTATCAGCTCCCATGGAAAAAATGGAGATCTCTAAAACCAATTTTCACTATTTGCCTGTTAAATGCCAGAGCCAAGGCACCTTGTATTGGCTTGTTATTAATTCATTATAACCAACCGCATGAAGAGACAGAGTGTGTGTGAAGAGAGTCCCGGCCAACCTGCCCTTGTGGCTCATTACCACACATACTGTAAAGGCCACATTTTCTCTCTCTATTGGATTTCCAATTTCCTAGCATCACTCGCTCTCTCTCTCTCTCTCTCTCTCTCTCTTTCTTCTCCTTGTTCTTCTCTCTCTAAGTCTTCTCTCTCTCTTCTTCTCTCTCTCTTCTTCTCTCTCTCTCTCTTCTCTCTCTCTCTTCTTCTCTCTCTTCTTCTTCTCATCTCTCTCTTCTTCTGCCTCCTCTCTCTCTTTTTCTCTCTCTCTTCTTCTCTCTCTCTTCTCTCTCTTCTTCTTCTCATCTCTCTCTCTTCTTAATTCTCATCTCTCTCTCTTCTTCTCATCTCTCTCTTCTTCTTCTCATCTCTCTTTCTTCTTCTCATTCTTCTCTCTCTTCTTCTTCTCATCTCTCTCTCTTCTTCTCATCTCTCTCTCTTCTTAATTCTCATCTCTCTCTCTTCTTCTCATCTCTCTCTCTTCTTAATTCTCATCTCTCTCTCTTCTTCTCATCTCTCTCTTCTTCTTCTCATCTCTCTCTCTTCTTCTCATCTATCTCTCTTCTTCTCTCTCTCTGCCTATATCTCTCATCTTCTCTCTTTCTCTTTCTCTCACCAGTCTTTCTCCCTTCCACCTCCTTTCTCTCCTCACAATTGCTCATTCTTTTTTCCTCTCACTCTCACTCTTTCTCTTACTCTACCTCTCCTTTCTGTTACTCTACCTCTTCTTTCTCTAATCTATCTCTCACTCGCTCTCTTGTGCTCTCCTGTCCCTCCTTACCTCACTCTCTCTCCCTCCCTTTCTCTCTTTCCCCTTTCTATCTCTCTCTCTCTCCCCTTCTCTCTCTCTCTCTCTCTCCCCTTCACTCTCTCTCCCCTTCACTCTCTTTCTCTCTCTCCCCCCTTCACTCTCTCTCTCCTCTATCTGTCTCTCTCTGCCCCCCCTGCTCTCTCTCTCTCTCTCTCTGTCTCTCGCTCTCTTTCCCTCTCCATACTCTACGACGTGTGGTAACACCGCGATGGTTGATTTGAGAGGTGTTTGACTGAATGGAATTAGTTAGCTAACATTGGCCCACTATGCATGCTAATAGCATTATTAAAGCTTAATCCAGACCTCCCAGTCATTGATCATTATACATTTCAGAATATGGTGTGCGCTGTCATGAAATTTGTACATGTACATTAAAGGTTACAAAAATGCAAGCCTTGTTATGAAATACATTGTTTTATAAAGTACACTACATGAGCATATACATGATATACACCAACATGTAACTTTACTATTTAAAGGCATTCATCCCACCCAATACCGGTATTCAAAATGTTCCATCCATTGAATCATTCAAAACCCACCTTTAAGTTATAGTTCTTTGGAGGCACACACAAGTAGAATCATTCCATTCAACTGAATTGTATTGTACTAGTAATATTTCATTTTATTTTCTTGCTTTTAAGCTATTGAACATGTTGAGTAATTATTTTGAGTTAGACGATACCACCTGTGCGCTTAGAAATGCCCGTATTAAGCGCCCTATAAGTGTAATTATTATTATTATAAGGAAATTGCTTCCTTGGGCATGAAAGTAGTTGATAAATTTACAGCAATTTAATTGAATGTATACACGTGTACAAAACAGAACAGTCAAGGAGATGCATGTATTAGCACAAACTCAAGACTGAGTCACTGAGTTGGCAATTTATTCATCTTAGATAAATAACATCTTCTGTATACTAGAAATATAAGAATTAATATTTCTAGTATCAGTGTTTCCAGAACATTTCCGTTCTCTCTTGCATATTATTTTTCTCTCCAATAATCTACTTAAATTACATTTTTATTTCCATTCATTCGTCCTTTAAAATTATATTGATGTCCATTACTTGCGTGGGCATATGAAGATTGTCAGTGATATTTATTCAGGCATGCATAAATACAATGAAGGACATCTACATTTTAATTAATGTTTCGATCCCTGTACATGTAATTGTATTGTCTTGATCTGTAATCAATTTTACCTTGTACCAGTTTTTTTGTATGTCTCGGTCGTTCAAAGTATTTTTTCCTTTCCATCTCCTGTATCATAAATTCTTTTCTATCCTCCAAATACTTCTTTCTTTCATCTTCCTTTCATCTTCCTTGCTCTCCATCTTTGTTTCCCCTTTTCATTTTCTTATATTATTTTTCAAGCTTCTTTTGCTTTTTTTCTCTCTTTTGTATTTTATCCTTTTGCAACTACTCACTGTTTCCCCTTTAATCTACCCCACATCTGTACATAATTGAAGTCAAATTTTCCATTCTCTCTTTGATTGTTTAAATAATGCTCTAACTCTCTTTCTCTCTCTCTCTCTCTTTCTCTCTCTCTCTCTCTCTCTCTCTATCTGCTTCTCTCTCTTATTTTGCTTTGTTATCTATCTTCCTTCTGTCTCTTCTCTCCACCTTTCTTATCTCTCCTCCTTTCTTCTCTCTCTCCCCTCTCTCCTCTCCCATCCTCTCTCACTCTCTATTCTCATTTTCTGATGTTTCTCTCTTTTATTTTTGTTTTGCTGTCTCTCTCTCTCTCTCTCTTACCCTCTCTCCTCTCACCCTCTGCTCTTTCATATATGTCTGTCTATTTTCTTTGTCTCTTTCTCTCTTTTGCTCCTTCTCTCATTGTTCACTATTTCATATACACCATGTTATACTTATCCTGGGCTCTCTCCATCTCCCTCTGTCTCTGCATGTCTTCCATATTAACTTATCTATGTAATTTGTATGATTCTCTCTCTCTCTCCACCTCCCCCCCCCCCTCTCTCTGTTTCTCTCTCTCTCCATCTCTTCCATATACATGTACGCTCATCTACATGTACAATATGTAAATCATTTATAAATATTTCTCTCATTCTCTTTCTCTCTGTCTCTCTCTCTCTAGTCCCTAGACAACGATGATGGTACCGGCCATTACCTGCGGAAGTTCAACATCATCCAATCGAGTATGAAGCCAGAGGATTGTCATCCAGAGGAAGGACTCTTTAGTGAGCTCAGTGAGGAACTCTGGTGGAACTACATCAACGATAAGGGCCAGATTGAGGACATCTTCAGATTACGAAAGGTACTACTAGAAGGAAATTACCATCCATTCCGGGGTTAGGAGTGATTTAGTTCAGTACATTTGGGAAATGAGAGCTCTAGGCAGCTGAGCATGCTTTTCAGTCTCGCTTTAAATTGTAATAATGATGGTTTGATACCCTTTCATGTAGATGTGGCAGATAGGATTCTCTTGCTCTTGCCAAAGGGCACATCAACCTAGAGAAAATTGGTCATCAGTTATTCAGGGGAAGAAAAGGTTTTTAGTCACAAAATGTGTCACAAAAATAACAAGAAGTGAAAGGAATGTTTTCAGACGCATTTTTATCCCAAATGTATTTGCTGAGCATGGGGATCCCAACAGAAATTTGCGCTCATTTCTTCTTATGCTGGATCAGGTTCTGCCAGATTCTGGGGAGAGGGGTCCCTCCTGGTCTGCCAGTGTGTGATTTGCTCAAGACTTACAATGTATGCAAATGTCATCAAGCTTATGCAGTGACAGAGTTTGAAAGACAGAGAATACTGTACCTGTATAAAATGAATTTGGTTAAAAAAAACAAAGCAGGGAAAGGGAAAAAGAGAGCAGTTTGGATAATAAGAGAAGGCTAGGAGTGTGTGAGGGGGGGGGGGGGGATGCTGAGTGGGAACTGAATAAGGAAAGACACTTTTATAGATATCTTTAAATAACAGACACTTGTGAGAAGCATCATGCCATCAGAGGTTTTTAATGAAGTACATTCTATGTATTTATACATTTCTTTTATAAAAACATGATCCAAACTATCAACAGCATGACCTTTCTTTCATTGAACCATATGTTGTACCACGGGCACCCTGGCGTAGACCTGTACAGGGATGGCATTCAGGCATCCTTTCTAAAGGAGCCGTTCCACTTGTGACTGTTAATCAAGGCAATGCACCCATTGCAGCACTGCTAGTTTTATGTCATATACGAATTAAAATAGAGCATAACATGTCCATTAATTAGGCTCATGAGAGGAATTCGTTTTTTTCCAGTATTAAAATGGAATTTGCATTCAATGGAGTCCGCCTGATATGGAGGGACCTTTGGTGATACAGTACATCAGGTTATATTAGAGCGATGAACATAACATGACCTATAAATATGTGGCAGTAATGGATTAAAGATCCTCTGGCCAAGGGAGGGGGGGTGGGCACAGGCAACAACATGTCTGACAAGCCACCCTAAAGTTCTCAAATTTGTCAGGTGGCACCTGAGTTTTAAAAAATTGTGCACATTTTGTTTTAAACTCTAGAGTGTGTATTAAAGTTATAGAAGATTTATTTTCTAGGAAGTGGAGGGGGCACATGCCCCTGTGCCCCCCGCCACCCCCTCATGGAACCTGTCGGGAGATTTATTATTACCAGGGGTGAGCTCTAGCTATCACTAACTCTATTAACCTCTCTTGACTGACCACTTGTGACGTATCTAGATCCAAACATCAGATGATTGCCAGCGAGGGTCCCTCTGACTGGTATCCCTTGACCAGTCATGTGGAGCTAATGGTTTTTACAAGGCAATATGGGACACATCAAAGAGAATACAGAATACCCTGTATGTGACATGTTGATGACTTTTTTAACGTGTATTAATAAAGTAAGGTAGAATGATTTTTCTTTAATTAATCATTCCTGCCCTGTCAACATTTTGTTTGACTGTCATTAACCAGAGCATAGTTTTAATGTACTGTACATGTATATCCATCTTTATTTATTTGCTCATTTTGTTTATTATGTAATTTCTAGTATCACATCATGAAGTGATAGCAATAAGTAGACAGTATTGGTACATTGTTATTTTAAAAAGAGACAAATACAACAACCGATGCCTTGAGATAATTTCTTGCCTCCTTTCCTTCATTTTCCTCCCTCTTTTTACTCTCTCTCGTATTCTTTGTTCGTTCACAGATTATCTCATTTCATTGCATACTGTACATCAACATGCACATGCTAATTTAATGGAAGTTACTCATTTGATATTCATTTTTCCTCTTGCTCTCCATCTCTCTCTCTCTCTCTCTCTCTCTCTCTCTCTCTCTCTCACTCTCACTCTCTCACTCTCACTCCCCACCCCTCTCTGCCCTCTCTCATACTTTTTTTTGTACTCCCCCTTCTTCTCCCTCTCTCAATTTATCCATATTTATTCCTGCTTTAATACACTTTCTTATCTAAATTTACAAGAACATTGACATTTGTCATCAATCCATCATTCTACAAAAAACAAAGCAACCATGCATTAAAAAAATGCTCCTATTATATATCCATTACAATTTCAATTTACACAATAAAGAGAGCCTTTCATTTCCATATGTTCTATGCAGGGGGCATTAATGCATTGCTGCCCCAACAAAATACACAACCAATACCGCAGAATAGTAATGATATTTACCAGGAAGCTTTCTCATTTGTTCTAATGGAGGCATGCATTTAATAACTAAACAAATGAACTGCGGAGGAGAAAGAGCACAGAGAGGAGGGGAGTGCAAATGTTAAAAGGTCTATTTATAGGTTCCCTGCTCTCCGGTTACTGATTTATAGACAGCCCACGGGTACTGTACAAGTACTTGAGTCTGGCATCAGGATCAAGCATGAGAGCTTTTATTCACGAATGTAATGTGTTATAATCTGTTTGCCTTGGGGGAGGGGGGGGGGGGGTATTCAAAGAGGAGAGTGTTCTGAACTCAATAATACATCTTTGATTCTAGCAGAGGGCCATACATCACATTTACAGCGTAATGTCAATTTAAAAATCTTTTATTCTATAATGTACATGATACATATTTTTGATGAGAAATATATTTTAAGTGCAGAATAGCAAACTATGATTTGTATTGTAATATGATATATCTGCTTTATGAGAAATAATTTTACAAAATAAATAATAAACTGTTTTTTTTTTCTTCATGATGGAATGTTTTTTATGTATTTTTAAAGTTCTAATGAGATACATGTTTATCGTCACCACTCCATGAAAGTTTGGAATCTACTCTGCTATGGCTTTGAAAAATTACTAAAAACTCCATTATTAACACTGCATTATTTATTCATTACTTGTAAATCGTAGTTTGCTTCATAACATGCTTTACGGGAGAGAGTAATGTTAATAATTAATCGATTGGAGCTCATCTAGAATGATACCGTGGATACTTTACTATTCATGATAGGATCTACATCTACATGTTCATGTATATTTGATGGTCAGAGGCGAGTGGTGAATTTTTCTGGGTTAATAGCCTATTGGCAATCGCATTGCCAATATTTTAGATGAATGCCTGTTTACTGAAGGGCTGTTTCTACACTGTTTCCAACTGCAGTACAGTTGTAAACCACACAGGCCCTCCCAATCGATACACAACCATTTTTCATTTATTGCATCCCAAATTCAAATTTCTGTAATTTTTTTTTTTTTTTTTTTTTAGTTTCAAATTTTTTCCAAATTTGAATCCAAATTTTCCATAATCACCATTGGAAATTCATGCTGTTGCATGTTGATCACAAAGTAAATATGTGACTTTTTTGTATTGTTAGGGAGTTGAAAATGTGGTCTGAATATTCTCATGACAGAGTGTTGGATTTGATGCAAAGAAATTATGGAATATTTTCAGTGGGACAGAATTGTGGTTATATAATCTGTAATTCTATATAAATGTGTTTGCAAAATTAAGTGACACTGAAAAGTTTCAAGCAAAAAATGATAATCATTTATAGTTTTACACTAGCCTTTTTAAAAATGTCATCTTTACAATATATTTTGTTGTTGTTTTGTAGCCATTTTCTAGACATGGGTCAAGAGAGACAACTCTGGATGAAGTAATCTCAAAGCCAAACTGCACTACTTATAGCTACAATGTACTTGCACCCTCTATATATCAAACAATGCCTAATCGGTGACCACTAGTCCCCCATGGTCCCCTATTTCTTAGTTAATTGAGAGCTGATTTGATGAGATAACCACTTGTCAGTGACCTTGCAGGGTGGTCTAATCCCTCCTGGCCAAACAAGTGAAGAGGGGCTTTAAGGTCTAAAATAGCCCTGGGATAAAATACAAACCCATGTGACTGAAAGCAATCATGATAATTACCACATTTATTTCTATTCCCTGAGCATGTATTTTGCCACAAGGCAGCTACCGGTACACTTATGTATGCCCTCAGTCTAAATGATTAATCTATCTTAATGTCCTTCTCCTCTTTTTGTATTACCATAAATTAGGTCGTGTTCTTCGGTGGGGTCGACGAGTATCTACGGAGAGATGTCTGGCCGTTCCTCCTGGGATTCTTTGCTTTTGATTCGACGACGGAGGAGAGAAACGCCCTCAGGGGTCAGAAGAGACTGGAATACGAGGATATTCAAAAGGAGAGGTGAGTGTATACAGAGGATTACATAGAAGAACAAATCATACAAAACAAAAGATGAAAATCATTAATAAGTGATTCCCATGAGCATTTACAAGTTGCCAGGAATGGGGCAGGCAAACTAAATCACCAAAACCATGAAGGTCCCCCATTCCGAAAATTGGAGATTGATTGGAGGACTTGTGATTGAGTTGGATCAATCGCAACTCTTTGTAAGACATGGCCCTGCTGCTGTCTTTTGCAAACTTTTGTTATAAAAGTTGGTATTAGTTCGAGTTACTCCAATTTCTTTTTATGCTGAGTTTTGAGATGGTAAAAATCATCTGCTCTTTGGTTTGATTTTATGAATGGTAGGTCTGTTAATTATGTATGATACAGAAAACTTGCATTGATTGGGATAATCATAATCTCTGGTGTAAACCTTAAAAGTTGGTAGTCACGCTATACATGTTTGTTACATTAGGTAAAGTGCATGCACCCAGTGAATTCAAAACCTGAACCCCTTGGCCCGTCTCATACCCTGGAATCTGTCTTATAAAGAGTTAATATTAATCACAACTTATTTGTGATTGATATCAATCGCAACTATGTATATGAGAAATAGGCGACTGCAAATTTGCAATCAATATCAATCAAAGGCCCAGAAGGAAAGTTTCTAAACTTATTTTTTTTCTCCCTGTTCTCCCTTATATCTTAGATTTTGCTTTCTTGTTTATGCAAAGTCATGATTGTCTGAGGCTTACAAAAATTACATATGCTTCTAAGAGGAATTTATTTCACATGAAACCAAAATAAGAAATTATGCTCACCATTGACTTTATTCCCATTACCATTACTCCACCTTCTCTTAAATATGTTGTTCACAAAATATATATGTTTTTTTTTAATGAGTTGTCACACATAATATTGACCTATACTGAAATGGAGACCTACATGTAAAACATATCTGATGAAGTCAATGTTGTATGTTTATCAATTTTGCTCAATTTTATTGAAAATACTTTCTTTTTTCTTTCAGGCTTGAGATGACAGAAGAGCAAAACAAGTTGTTTTATCGCAATGTTCAGAGCATAGTGGACAAGGATGTAGTGAGAACTGACCGTACTCACCCGTACTTCAAAGGAGAGAACAACCCTAATGTAGACATCATGAGGTCAGTTTGCATTTAATCTCTCTCTCTCTCTTTCTCTCTCTCTAGCTCTCTTATGTATCTAACTCTCTCTTTTGATCTCTCTCTCTCTCTGTCTCTCTATTTGTCTGTCTGTCTCTGTCTCTTCCTCTATATCTCCCTCTCTCTATCTAACTCTCTATTTTTATCTCTCCGTCTCTGTATTTGTCTGTCTGTCTGTCTCTGTCTCTGACCATACTCACCCATACTTCAAATGAGAGAAAAACCCTAATGTGGATATCTTGAGGTTCGTTTACATTAAATAATCTAAGGTTACATTTACAAACAATCTAGTGAAAAAAATAGTTTGGGGTGGCAGTGTTTCGTTCTCAGTCCCTCCTTTTTTCTCTCTCTTTCTTTTTCTCCTTTTTAAGCTCTCTTCACCCTCCCACCACCTCTTCTCTCCACCTGTCTGTCATCTTCTCTCAGTATGCCCCTATTGAATTACTAACAATAGCACAACAGCAATCTTTTTTGTTGTTGCCAGGACTATCTGTTTGTGGTGTCCCAGCTTTCTTCCAATTGTGGCTGAACTGTTAGAGAGACAGAGGGTTATCAAGTTTATCAATGATACATTTAAGATATATATATATATATATTTTTGTTTTTTAACAAAATGAAATCTTTCTACTTTGTATTTCCCTCCTAGGAGTATCTTGTTAAACTATGCAGCAGGCAAGCTGTCAATGATTCTAACCAGGATACGATTTACTCTCTTATGTTATTTAACCACTCTCTGTTTTAAAATCTTTGTAGGAACATCTTGGTGAACTTTGCGACCTACCAGCCCTCAACAGGGTACAGCCAGGGTATGTCTGATCTACTAGCCCCTATCTTGGCTGAGCTTCAGGATGAGTCAGATGCTTTCTGGTGCTTTGACAGCCTCATGAAGAACGTCATCTTTGTCAGCTCCCCCAAGGATGAAGACATGGAGATGCAACTGGTGAGTTATAATGTTTTATTATCATGATATATAGTCATCTTGATTATCCATGATATATATTAACAGTATACTAATATACACTAACACTCGAGGATCAAGCGAAAGCCCTCAGGAGAATAGTACCAGTTGATGTTCCTTCGATGCGAATAGTTTTTTTGTTTATTTGTTTTATATCCCTTCCATCTGTATCATTCCTTGTGCACTTCTGTAATAACATGTACCGTATACTCATATTCACATCACATTCAGAAAAGAAATAAAAGAAAATTGCGTGGGTCAAATAAAACATTGAAGGATGTAAATATGTTTAGCTGGCGCTATAAGCTTCCCGTACAGGTACTGCATTAGTGAAGTGCAGTTATCACACATCGTAAATTGTATGGCTTGAGCGCAGTGACACCGCAGGAGTTGCCTGTGCGGAAGCATTTGAAATCCTGTACCCTCGCTGAATTTTGCCTGTTTAGGGGGGGGGATGCATTGTTCACTTTTTCCCTAGGGAAAAAAGGTGAAAAATTTGTGACGTCAGCAATAAAAAATCAATGAATTCTGATTTAGTCGACAGGAAACGTCTTTAAAAGTAAAACTATATTGTATACACTCCTATTGCAGCAATCTTATGATAAGAGATATAATATACAATATCATTCTTGAAGAGGTTCATCTGATTTGAAGTAAGTCAAGTTATCTAAAAATCAATGTTAATCTCGTCTTTCTCTCTCTTTAGCAGTTTTCTTTAAGTTAAAATTCAGTTGGTATCCGATTTGAATGGTATTTTCTTATTACTGTCTAATTTGATCTCTACCTTATTCTCCAAAGCGCATACTGTAAGTACTGAAAGTATTAACCACTAGGTATACAAATATTGTTTATTATTATTTATTATTATTCAGACCTATCTTTTGGAGCTGATCAAGTTGATGTTGCCTGAGTTCTGGGACCATCTCATTCAGATTGATGATGCCATGGAACTCCTCTTCTGCCACAGGTAAGTGTAGAGGAGAATGACGATTGGAGAATGTTAAGACAAAAGAAAATGGATCAAGAAGGGGATTATGGGAGAGGTAGGAAGATAAGGAAGGTACATGTAAAAGGAGGATGGAAGGAGGATGTTACAAAACATGTACATGTTCACTTTATTTACCTCTTCATTTGCTATAGATCAAAAGCCACTTTATCTGTAGTATTAGTGTATGATACATACATGTATTGTATGTCTCATAAAAGTTGACCCTGGCAGTCAAGTGTTTTATCTATATTAAAGTCAACCAAAGTGACGGAGGAGATAATAATATGTTTTTTTATTTTTGTATGTTACACATAAAAAGCAACATCCATGCACTATATACATAATCAGAAAATAACAATGGGGTATGATCTGTAGAGCTCAAGAAATCAAGGAGATAATGCTTTGACATATTGAAAAATTTTACATTTCATAACTATTGTGAATTTGCATTTGATCCCCATAAATGCAGGTGGCCCACACTTTGCTTCAAGGCTGTGGCACTGAGTCATGCTGTAAAAGAATACTAAAGTTTAATTGATAATTGCACTGGAATATCACAGGAGGCGTGATAGGTCAGTTGGTACAGAGGAGAGGTGTCATAATCCAGCGACCCAGGTTCGAAACCAAGGCAATCACTAGTGCCTTTTGGTAAGGCACTAATCCTCATTACCAGGTCTCTCAGAGAGGACCTTAAGCCGTCGGTCCTCTGGTTGCTTACTAACAAGCATTTATGCTTTCATAGCAGTCAGGTAAAATAACCACCACTACACACATCTGGTTTGTTTGCTTGAATTATTATTTTATCACACTTACTTTTTTATTGTAGATGGATCTTGCTCTGCTTCAAGCGTGAGTTCTCTGAGCCTGAGGCGCTGAGGATGTGGGAGTCCTGCTGGGCTCACTACCAGACCGATTACTTCCATCTCTTCATCTGTCTTGCTATCATCGCTATCTATGGAGACGACGTCGTCCAGCAGACGCTCCCGGCAGACGACATGCTCCTTCACTTCAGCAACCTCGCCATGCAGATGAATGGGGATATTGTACTCAAGAAGGTAGGGAGGAGAGGAGAGGAGAAGAGAGGGGAAAAAAAATGTTTGTTGTTGTAATGCTAATTCTCCATCCTTATTATACATGTATAAGCATACCAAGATAGGATTGAAGAGCACTTTTACATTTTACATTGAACTTGTTCCAAAGAATTTTCATTGTAAACTCTTAATAATAAAACAATTATCAAACTAAAGAAAACATGCAGAGAAATTACACCAAAAGCTTGAAAAGAAGTAATAACAAAATAAAACTAGCTTCCAATTGTGTTGTACATATTCAATTTTTGTGTATGGCTACTTTTAAGTGAAACTTACGTGTTATAAAAAAGTTACATTCAACCCATAGAAAGAATTTCGGTCAATGGTTGCTCTTTGTTGTTATTCATTTATAATGATTTTTCTTATCAGTTTAGAGGGCGAATCTTTTGCTGCTCTTTCTATTTTATGAGAAGTCAAAAGTGTAATAGTATATATGTAGAACACTTGAACAATCAACTTAAAATAAATATTTCAAACCTCTTGCAACCTGTTGGCTCAGTCAGTAGAGCGTCCGCCTCACAACCAGGAGGTCATGGGTTCGAACCCCGGCCGCGTCATACCAAAAGACGTTAAAAGGTGGGAGTTGTTGCTACCTTGTTTGGCGTTCAACAATAAGGGATAGAGCAACGTCGATCTGGGCTCACGATCAATTGGGCAAAAAGAATTTCCGTTTCGGTTTAATAAAATTTGGAGTGGACTATTAGGCTATTATTATTATTATTATTACAGGCGAGAAGTCTGCTCCACAAGTTCCGGACCCTAGTGCGCCTCCCCTGCACTTTGGACAAGCTTTGCCGGACGTGTGAGCCCGGCATGTGGGACAGCGGACACTCTCCGGTGGTCGAGTGCGTTGGCATCCACGAGGCTGGATACAGCTGCCCGCACATCAGGTGAAAAAAATTAGCATTTGTCAAATCATACAAAGATTATTTGAAACTCTTTATTGACCCAGGACTGCCGCTTTGCTTGGAGTGTGCTATACCTGTACACTGTATGTGTGCCAACAGTTGACTGTGGCAATCCACTGGCTGTTCCATTTGTCAAAGAGAGCAGGTAAAGCGTTAAAGGGTTATTTCAGATTTGATCCATTCCACTGAACCATTTCCCTTTTTCTCTTTTTAGACAGCTTTTATGCCCTTGTCCATCCTTTCATTCATGGTACATGTAGATACAAAACTGACTGCCTTATTAGAAGACTCGTAAAGAGATGTTTCTTTCTGTCCTTTTCAATCATGATGGATCCAAAATAACCCTTTGAATGCCGCCATAAGTTTTTATTAGAAGAAGATTCAGAGAGATGCATGGTAGTGAATAAATAGTGGATATTGAATGGATTAAATGCATGAAATCAACTCAACTGCCTTACAAATACAACCCCATGGGTATAGGCTTTCAATACATGTACCAAACTGGGCTGAAAAATGAAACATCTTTTGGAACCGCCCTTTGCATTACATAACTAATCCTATCTCTCTAATTATTGACGAGAAATGTGTTGTGGACGTTCAAATACAAGTTTAAAAAGTGGTATATCTTGGTTTCTGGGTTTCTAGAAGATTTCTAGCAATTCTGCCTTTATTTTCAAAACTTGCTGAATCTATTATAGAAGAAAAGCAAAAAGTTTTAGAATGATTATGAAATAAAAAAAATCATCTTTTCTTTCATTTGCCCTATACATCAATTATTCATTAATAATAATTGTTTAGAAATATATTGCTTTTGAAAATGAATTATATAAAGGTGTATATTAAAACAAATTATCAGGAGTATGTACAGTGGTGTGTACTTTGATTACCTGATTGTCATTTTAACATTATTAATTTACATTGTATGTATATGTATCATATGATGAAGGAAAACAATTTACCGGTGAACTTTGTATTTTTTTTCTTTCTCTGCCCTTATGTACATATAATAACTGCCACAAGTAAAGCAATCTGCCAGTTTTCTTGATCTTACCTTGCTTCTTTTATTTGTTCACTCTGTGCAATATTGTTTTCGCTGAAATGGACACAAATTATGCAGTAATAGTGTTAGATCTTCTGCATGAAAGTTTAATACATTCTGTCCATGGAGAGTGGGTTTACTGTAGTTTAGTGGTTCATTCATTTGACCATCTGGTTTAGGGTTCAAATCTCTGCCTGTCTTCACATAATGCATTTCGTTTACAGTGTTCCTTTGGCCCAGGTGTCAAATTATTTCATCATAGGATTCTTTGCTGACAATGAATCTTTTGCTGATAATGCATACTAAAGCCAGGTTTATCAAGATGATAAACAAACATATACAAAAGTAGAATATTACTGTTTTTAGAACATTTCATTCTGATCTGATTTAGTTAAACAGTGGAAATTACACTGTATGAAGTGATTGATATGGTTAGAGAAATGTGTGCTTGCGCCCGTCGATTCATATCTTATTTCTATCCATTCCATTTTTGTTTTTAAAAATCTTTCTTTCATTGCACCAGAATTTCTGATATTGTATATACTTTTTCATTGTTTGCAATAATAACTTATGGATGAATGAAATTTCCCTTTTTACAGCATTGCACAGATCTCTGTTTAAGAGTGTAAAGAAATGTAAGAAAAGAAGGTTAGAATTATGAATTTTTGCATATTCATTGCATTATGATATCGTTCACTGTGACTGCATTTCAATGTGTATTGTTACAGTCAAATAACAGGCATCAATTGTTTTATTTGTTTATTTTCACCAACCTTTTCCATCTAAAGCTCACACAGGAAGAAAAGCTTTCAAATGTTTAAAAGGTAAACTAGATTAAGATTATGTTGGTTGTCAAACAAAGTACTGCACAAGTACATTAACCCTGCAAAAATAATTTATTTGATATGAAATGTGATTTAGCAAAAGGGCAATTCTATGCAATGTGTCATACTATCCCATACAACATTCATGTCATTTGTTCAGGGCCAGAAGGGCTGAATCTCATATACTTTAACACAGAGTTAATGCCCTTCTGGCTCCAAGCAGATAATGCATGACATTCTCCTTGTTTAAATGAGAAATGTCTTGATATGACTATTAGTAGAGTCAAAGTGTGTAGACCCCGCTGATATTTTTCGGGGACAAAGGTTTTTAAGTGTTTTTGAGTTGTTTGGAGGTCAATGATTAAAATTAGCTTGGGTAGTCCCCTCCTAACTCCCGGCAACTCTCGTAGGGGTCAAAATAAGGTCAAAATGGGGTCAATAGGAGGTCAATTTTTTTAAATGCCCTGATTATGTTCAAAGACATGTCAAATTGTTTGTCTCGTCATACTGAACAAAAAAGTGTACATGATCATATACCCCTGACCTCCCGTTAAGAAGTTATGGCCGGAAAAGTCAAAAGGTCAAGGAACTTTCATTTGAGGGCAAAATACACTAAAACTGTTAGGATCGATCAATTTTCATGTTTTTTGTGTCTATTTATATGTATTTTTATTTCGAAATTTGAATGAGACAATTTCTACAATTTCTACTTAAGAAGACCGTATTCAAAAGATATAAGGGGTCAAAATAAGGTCATTTGGGGTCAAATGAGCTCCTTTGGGATCAAAATACACTAACAGACTTAGGAGTTATTTGTGTCAAATTATGTGTAAATTGATGAATAATAGTGAATGAATTTTTTTTTTTTTTAAATTTAGAAAACCATATTCAATTGATGTAAGGAGTCATTATAAGGCCAAAATGGGGTCATTTGGGGTCAAAAATGTTTAATTGACCTAAATTGTGCTGTAATGCACTCTCACACTGAATGAGAAAGAGCAGTTTCATTCTAGGGTTAAAATACGATAGGAGTGACAACAAAGCCATGTTCATTTTTTTTAAGTGTCACAATGCAGTTTACATGTAATTTAACTGGTGGCCACAATGTCAAATTAGCTTGATTGTTTTTATCTGCCCATCAGTTACATACACAACCCTGCGCTCTCTTACTAGGTATGGTAAATGTCTTAATTTGTTGCAACATACCTTTAAGGACTTAAAGTCAGCCTTGAGATTCTCAAAAATCCATCTACATGTTCACAAGCGCAGTTGCAAGCAGCAGCTGCAGATCTCCTGGAAAATGAAGAATTGACATCTTTTGTGACAAAGGCATTTGAAAGCGTTGAAGCATCTGATTCTCCAATGGCTAGGTTCTGGCTAAGCTTCATGGACATGGTGGAAATACTGCTCATGAACATACATGGTCTGCGGACACAAGACTGGGATTCGTTCAAAGCTTCTCTCAGGATGATGTTTCCATGGTTGCGCATCTACGATAATGACAAATACAGCAAGTGGCTGGTTGAGTTTTGGCTCGAGATCTCAAGTCTACCAGAAGAGAAGGAAACCTACTTGAAAAGAGGGGTTGTTCTCCCAATCAATGACCGGGAAACCATATTCCTGTTTACCCCTAGATTTATGGATAGAGATGACCATGAACAAGGGTTCAAAGATGAAAGCAGGACGGAAACATATCTTGAAGAACGAAAAGATGTTACTTGCACACACAAAAACCACAAATGCTTGCAACAAAGTGAGAAACTCCTTGCATGTACTGGCAAACCTCAAAGACTCTTCCAACGATCACAGAGAAAATTGCAAGAAGAGACTGCAGAGAGATGAGAAAGGGGTTCAAGATCTGGACAAATGCCTGGGTGAGTTTGACTGTGACCCGTTTGATGAGACCAAGCCAACATTGAGGTCTCTGCAGTCTGGTATGATGGCATCCGATCAGCTGGTCGTTGACTTTGAGAATGCGCACAAAGATGGTGAAGTGCTTGTTCAATCATTTTTCAAAGAGAGGATGTTTTCCGATGAGAAGAACTTTGATGACACGATGCACAGGAATTCACGCTGCAGTTTCACCAAGTCACCAATTGTTAAAGGAACATCTCGGGTTACAAAGACTGATGCAATGGATAACAAGGCCATGACAGAGGTAATCTCTCTTGCTCAGAAATGTGAGGACACATTTCGACTGAGCGATGTAATGCAATATCGTGTTACAGATGAATGTCTACCTATCTTTAACGTGTACGGAACACTGAGAAAGGTGATGAAATCAAAGTTGGTTGACAAGCTCAATCTTGAGGAGATAAACTCGCTTAACAACTACATTGCACTCGTCGACATGGGATTCATTTGGAGACTTAGTACTCCATCAGCAGAGGATAGAGAGAAGCAGGATGGTACAGATTACACGTGGGGCAATTATGCAAACAAGATTTACAACATAGTTGCAGGTCGTCACAGAAAGGCGACCACAATTTTCTTTGTGAATGATCCCTATGACCTAGATGAGAGTATCAAGGATAGTGAACATCAGAGGCGTACAGGCGTTACTTATGTAGGAAGTAGCCGAAATGTATTTATGAGAAGAGATGATCCACTGCCAACATCTAGGCTGTTCAATAATATGTTCAAAAATCCAGGCAACAAAGTTCGGCTCCAACAGTTTCTGAATGCAGAGTTCAAGATCATGTCATTGGAACACCCAGAGACGACATATATATACTCAGTGAGAGATCGTTGCTCAGATCTGCAGAAGGGCACAGAATTATACCCCATTCACAGTGGCCTCAAACACCGCGACAGCAGCGGGACTGTCCCGCTGCTGTCGCGGTGTTGTCTTCAGTGTGAAGGCTCGGACCCGTTATAAACTATCGCGGGATAACACCGCCTCGCGATAACGCCGCGACAAACTATCGCTAGGTTCGCCTAGCTACAGCAGCGGGACAGTCCCGCTGCTGTCGCGGTGTTTACTCAGTGTGAAGGCTCTCCGCTATAACACCGCGACAAACACGTGTGATTTGTTTACTTACCTATCACTGACCTCTTTTCTCCAGCAATGGGGAACATAAAGTGAAATAGAAATAAAGTAACCAGTGGATTCAAATTGATTTTATTATTATGTAGATATTATAATTATCCAAATAAAAATATTTCACACTTCAAAAAATTAAATATTCTGACTGGAAGCAATAAAAATGCTAGTTTTTTAAAAAGTAATATGATCGAGGATACAAAAAGCAAACGTAAAAGTATAGATAGATCCATAGCTAAATCGAGCTAGCTACATGAGGAAGAGTGTGTAAAGTACAGCTAGCGCGCGCAATTTCAAGCAATCGAAAACCCCGCGCTGAAGTATTTCCGGTCATATCGGGGTCACTCGCGGGTCATGAGCCATGCATACACGTGTTTGTTACGGAGGTAATAAAAATCACCCGCTGCAGCGTGAATGGGTACATGATATTTATCCCGCTGCTGCAGCGGGATAACTTTTCTACTGTGAATGCATTTGTAGCGGTGTTATGGCGGTGTCGCCGCTCCGCTACAACGCCGCTACAAATTTCAAAACCACTGTGAATGGGGTATTAGAGCAATTCACATGCCAACACACAGAAGCGGACACCATCCTTCTCTATGTGTATTACCAACTAAGACAGTCAGGTGTGGAAGACACTGTTGTTATCGATGCAGAAGACACAGATGTTATGGTTCTAGCAGCATACGCAGCCCATCAGATTGAAGGACCATTAGGCATCAAGAGGAAGGGCTTCGTCTATGACTGTAAGAAGCTTTGCAGTCCTGAAGTGGCAGATGTCATTGTCCCCTTTCATGTTCATACTG